AAAACTTAACTGACTCACTTGTAAAAATCTGACCAGTTGACTAAATATCAAACTGTATTGCAAAGGATTTTTTTTATAAGGTTAAGAATTTTTTCAAGTTTTTCATTTGAGCTTACACACAAAAAATGCACACGCGCAATTATATATATATATATATATATATATATATATATATATATATATATATATATATATATATGGTAATCTCAAAACTTTAACTACAACAGACCATACCATGATGAAAAAAGGCTACATACTTCATAAAAACAAAGCTTTATATTCAAAATATTTATGCTATTATTAAAAGGAAAAAACAAATTATTTTTTTGATTATTTTATTCAGAATGTTTTATCCCCTCTAGCTCTTCGAAATTTTGTTTAAAAATCTTGTTTTTCTTGCCTCAGCGGATCGGACAAAGATTAGTATTATGAAATTTAGCGTCATTTTTGCAGTAAAAAAAAAAACAAACAAACAAAAAACACTGTTTTGGAATTATTGCAGAAATCTAATGATTGTCGGATTTTAATGAAATTTTCAGGACTTAATCACAAATGAATGAAACTATTTTTGAATTATTTTATTTTAGAAAATCTTTAATTTATATAATATATATATATATATATATATATATATATATATATATATATATATATCTGTCAACCCTACTTACTTAATTTTATGAAATTTCGAAAAATTCAAATTGGTTAAATACAAGACTTTTTGGAGAATTTAAAACATCAATTTGTTTTTGGCAAACAGAAATAAAATACTGGAAATTTGTCTGAATCGTAAAATAAAAATGCAATAAAACTACGATATTATTTATTTAAAAAATGAAACTTTTAATTGCTTTTATAAATAAGATCTATTAAGGATAGTATTGTCTTAAGAAAAAACATTTCGATGTATAATGAATTTTACAAGAATTGTTTCCATTTATTTTTTATTTTAATTAGAAAGATTTATTAAGTTTTAAATCTTTTAAAATTCTATATTAACTTCAGCCTAAGCATAAATGGAAGAGCTTAATACAAATTATCAAACACAAGTATTTTTGAAAGAATTTTGCATTTTTTTTTGTATATGAATGAACGTGCTGAGTTTTGTAAGTACAAGATTTTCTTATAATGATGTGTATGGTCACATTTTAAGAAAATATGCATTATAAATATATTATATTTAAACCCCAAAATGGGCATAGCTCTCACTTCTGTTCTTGCATTTTCTTCTCTTCACAACCACTTACACACACGCAGAGACCTACCTTATCTTAATTCATATATAGGAACACTTATATATATGTACATGAGTGTCGGTACGCGCTCGTGGGTGTGTAAGTCGGTTTGTAAGGTACTATATAAGTAAGCGAATTTTGCATATATATATTTATTATTCAACCCTGTTGGAAGAAAATGTAACGGTATCAGAAAATAAGACGGAGAAGGAAAGTGAAAATCGAAAAGGATAAATATTAAACATACACCAATATGAATGCGAACAATATAAACACACACACACACACACACACATATATATATATATATATATATATATATATATATGCACATTTCATTGAATACGACAGACAAGTTGCTTTTATTTAGTTTTTTCATACAATTTATTTCTCATGCGATCTAATTTTTTTTCTTTTCACATGATAAATTATATAAAAACTGTTTGAATGTTCTTTTTATCCGAGCGCTTTCGGCTATACATTTAGCCATTTTCAAGGATTAAATATTTTAACTGTTAAATAAGAAATAGTTTGTTGCATGTATGTTTTATAAAATGTTTAATTTTTCAAAGCACGGTCAAACATACATACATCAAATTATTTCTTGTTTAACAATTAAAATATTTATACCTTGAAAATGGCTAAATGTATAGCCGAAAGCGCTCGGATAAAAATAACATTCGGACAGTTTTTATATAATTTATCAAAAAAGAAAAAAATATATTAGATCACATGATAAATTGTATAAAAAAACTAAATAAAAGCACCTTGTCTGTCGTATTCAATGAAATGTGCATGAAAGATGTATTGCTGCCTAAATACACAATTATATATATATATATATATATATATAGATAGATAGATAGATAGATAGATAGAGAGTGAGATAGATAGATAGATAGATAGATAGATATAAATTGGCTGAGATTGACAGATATAAACTTATACAGATTGATCAAAACCAACAGACTGAAATAGATATCGACTATTATATTTACACATCTAATACAATATATATATATATATATATATATATATATATATATATTGATATATATATATATATGTATATATATATGTATGTATATATATATATATATATATATATATATATATATATAGAGAGAGAGAGAGAGAGAGGCCGACAGACAGACAGAAAGATGGAGCTCATTTATGTTTTTTTATATCTTTTTTATCCTGATACCTGTTATATCTATCTATCTATCTATCTAGCTAGCTAGCTAGCTAGCTAGCTAGCTATTCATTTCCTCTGATGAACACTCTGTTTTTCTCTGACATCGAAGCCATTTTGGAAAGTAATTACCTCGTTTGAACCTTTCGTTCCAACATTTCCTTCGTTTTTGCTTTCTGTTCGTTTCAGCGCCATCTTCCACAAGAGAGGCCTGCAGGCTTCTCCTTCTCTAAATCACGGACAATGAGTCCGTATGTCGGTCTGTCTGTCTGCGGACATCTCTGGCCCGGCTAGATGCTTGATCTTCCCCCCCCCCCCCTTCTATTTCCACTCAACCTGCACTTTCCTTTCCCTTCTCTTCTCTTCTTTTTTCCCTTTTTCCATTTCATTTCTTTTCACCTTTCTCTTTTCCGAAACGTTTTTATCTAACTTTGGCATCGACTACCATTTTACGTTTCTTCTACAAACGTTTTTTTTTTCTTCTTCTCTATCTCTCTGTTCCCTTCTAAGTTTTTCGCTTATTCAGTCACACGGAAACGGTGACTCAGTCAGAATAGGAATACAAACAAGGAACTAGAAGAGGGAAATCGACACATTCAAAGGAGGTATAAAGGGGAAGAAATGTGGGGAAAGTGGGAGGAAGAAGAAGAAGAAGATAAAGAGGACAAAAATGTACCTGAAACGGAACTAGTATAACACAGTGAATAATAAACGAAAAAATAAAATACGTGGCTACATCAATAAAACCGCGGCTTAATGAAGAAAAAAATCATTTCACACAAGAAAATATTTCAATGTAAACCACTTCCATATCTATACACTTAACCGAACACTTCTCTATCGATCACATGAATCGAATATTAAACAATGAAAATTTCAGATCAACATCAAGGTAATATTATTGTCAGGTTACTGTCCCAAAAGTAGGCAAATAATGAAGCTGGTCAATGGTAAAAAGTGATGAAAAGACATATGATGAGGTTGAAAGATAATTAAAAGCTGGAAAAAAAGTGGTGACCTTACTCAAGTTAACTAAAATAATTTTAAATTATTAAACTTATACGTGTACCCATGAGTAGTTAGAACAATTTAGAAAAGTTTTCACGTATAAATTGACCCCCACCCAACAAAAACAACGACCCGATACAATTTGTAAAAAAGCAAAATTGATAATAGTAGCAAAGTACCGAAACTGTAAAAATACAATATTCTTCCTCTCTCCCTTCATAGCGTAGGTGACTATGGTCCTCCACATCTTCCTACGCCATGTAGCTGTGAGTAATGCTTATGATTTTTTAGTTTTTTTTTTTTTTTTTTTTGCCAACACTCTTCAGGTAGGTGACCTAATGTCTCCCAGATCCCACCATATTTCTTGCTTTCAATATTTCCTGGGAGTGTCAAATTTTCTAAGCTCTCCTTCCTCATTATGTAACCCAGAAATATTAACTGTTTCTTCTGGATTCTGTAAACAAAGCTTAAAATTTCCTCATTTATTACATTTCCATGGCATTCTCAGCATGGTTTTCTCAGTATCCCCCTGTGGAAACATGTGTTTTTTTTTTCCGAGTCTTCTCTCCATCTGTAACAGCAAAATTGTCCAAATCGTGTAACCGTATAATTGTCCCTATCACAAAATGTTTGATATCTAAAAAAAACTAAATATTTTTTTTTTTTTTTTTGTTTTTTTCAGGCGGTCAGATAAGATGTTTAGACATCTTGATACCATTTGTACGAACCACAGGGAAAACCCTTTGTGTTATTCAGCTAGAAAGAGAACAGGTTAAAATCGTTTTGTGTCAGACCCACTGTCTTTCTAAATGAGCAATGGTGTGAGGAAAAATATCAGTCGGACCGTCAGTAATGGTACCAACATTCATACTTTGGCTTACATCTTCAAAGTTCATTCAAAAAAACACCAAGAAAACGGTGAACAAGTTTAAAAAAAGAGAACAGTAGAGAGGAAAACTGCATCAGGAGGTCACAACAGAAATGGGGATCATCATTTCAACTTAGAGCTAAGGAGATCAATTAGAAAAGATCCAACTCAATCCATAAGATGTTTGACGCATGAGAGAGAAGTTTCAGCTATGACAGTTCAAAGAGCAGTAAAAAAAGACTGGAAATGAAATCGTACCTGAAACTTGTGAGGAACCTTGTTACTCCATGACAGAAAGGAGGGAGGTTAGAGAGCAAATAAGTTAACTCACACTCTTTGGGTCATGTCACTGGAACTAACTAACGCCTTTATCCACTGTGCCATGTGTCCTTGAGTTCAATACCCAGTTAAGGCAGTGGAGAACATTCAGAGGGAAATTAACAGGAGATAACTGATAACTGACATCCATTAAACATGGCACGTGGAACTAGAACAGTCTACCCCAGTGAGCGAAATAAAGAGTTCAGTTCGACATTCCAACCACCTGAAGAAGGCCGGAGCGTACAACTGCCGAAACCTTGTAATAAATATGGCGACAAAGATGAAGACAATAGTCCGAATAATGTAAATAATGTGCATAATACCTCATCTCAGAAATATAAACAGATACTGATGAAGGTGTCATTTTCGTTTATGA